ATTTTCATCGAAAAAATAAAAATCTTGAAAAATTGTAGTATGGACAATAAATTGAAAAATAATGAATACCATAATTTTCTCTTTAAAGGTGCATTATTTATTTGTTTTCTCTTTATTCTCTCCACGTTGTTTTTCTTTTCTTTTTTTTTTTTTTTTATTGGCAGTTATTTCATTGAGATTATTTAATTTTTATTTCTGAGTTACTGGTTGGATATATTTATGCTATGTATAGGTTTAGAAATCAGATAAACTTTCCAGCAGGATATCCAGATGGGGCTAATTTTCTAGCGGTTGAGATATGGTGATATCCGCCCCTCCCCCCTTCCTTTAACCCCTAGATACGGTGGACGGTAGGAAGCTGATGAGGGTGATCGAGTATATTAAATTTTGGCCCCTATCGATTCCTTATACCTGATACCCTAATCCTCCTCCAGGCCCCTCTCCCTAACCGCAAACAAAATCAGGTATTCCTGATGTGGTAGGAGATATCGTCGGTTTATTGCAAGCGGCCATTAAGTGTGCCTTTCAGTTGACAGAATGACTCATTCCAATTTCAACATTTTTCAGTAAAGTCATTTTAGTGATATTTCTAATTGGGAAATTTATAACATCTGTGCAGACAGTGAGGAAATTGATTCCAGAGTAGTTGATTGTAGCGTTGAAATATAGAACTGTGGATAAAGTTATAAGTTTTCTCACTAAAAATGTCACTAAAACTAATTATAAAAAATGTTGAAGTTGGAGATAGTCATTCTGTCAACTGAAAGGCTCAAGTGATATTTTATAATCTCAAATCACTTAGAACTTTGACGAATTTTCCCTTTATGATATCTGGATATTGTGGGCTTCTTGTTATTAAAAGATTTATATGGGCGTCTGTGTCATTTTATTTCATTTACTATGTTTTCATAGATAATTTTTTAAAATTATATTATACCTGTTATAAATATAATAACCAGTGAATTTGATGATCGTTGAGAAACATAATGACATGTAAGGCCCAGCGGCATCTCCTCCTTGCGTGGTATCTACATTAGGCGAGAAGGTCCCTCATATAGCTTCTCTTTAGCCTCCTACGGACGTTACCTACCATTTGCGTAGTAGTCATGTCATTTATAATTGTGTTAAGATGGTCTTTTAAGTTGTCGTGGAATCGTTAGTAATAAGTTCGTATGTGTTCGTTAACAGTCGGCATGTGTAGGTCAGTATGTAAGGTTATGTTGTACTTTTGTGATTGTCCTGAATGCTTTTGCTTGAAAGATTTGAAGTTTGTTTATGTGAGTCTTATTAACTGTTCCAAATATCTGTGATGCGGAAGTCAAAATTTACAACAAGTTCAGCATTATCATAAATGTTACTTTTTGTAATAAACTAACGATATATTCAAGCATTAACATTGACCTTGTTAAATTTGTTATTCTCAAAAACCATAAAAAAAAGCTATGATATTGAATCTGGTTGTCAAAATTGTGTTTATTTATTGTTCTCAAATTGAAAATAACATATAATTTTTATAATAAAAATAATCCAAATGTAATTTTTGAATTACAATTTATAATATCGAGGAAAAAACAATTTATTTTATTCCCTATACATTCACTTAATGCTTTAATTCATTCCAACATCTTGGCGAAGTTTCAGGCAATTTCGATTCGAAAAACTATATCTAAAATATAAATCACAATAATTATAAATATATATGTTAAAAATATAATTTTCATTTGATTTTTTAAAAATATTTCATGGTATCAGCAGGGAACCATTTTTTATCATTAGAGGTGGAGGCCGCATTAATGTTAGGCCACGATGGTAGAGGTCGCAATAATTTTTAATATTTTGCTATTTTTATTTATAAATAAATACAAAGACACACACCTATATATATATATGTATAATCATCTTAATTATATTAATTTTCATATGCTCGTTACCTAAACTGTTCCTCATCTGTGTTCTATGGTAACTCGATGATAATATTCTTAATCATGTCCTTAATAATATCCAGCTAACTTGTTTCAATCATTATGTTATCTAATAAATATGAATTAATAAGATATTGGCATGATTTATCGACTGCAATGTCTTTTATCTTAGTCTATCCGATAACTAGAAAGTTATATAAAAAAAAATCTTAAACCACTATCTTATCAAAAAAATGTGGTCATTGACATTTTTACTATATTTTTGTCACGATCGTGTAATATTCAAAATGAAATAAAATTTCACAATATTTTATTATCATTACTGAAAAATTTAGGTTCGGTATTGTTATTATCCGATTAACCCGTATCTAGGAGGAGTGAAAATATTTTTTGAGCAAAAGATTTCCTAGTTTGGCTTAAATCAACTTAAACAAAAAAATGCTTAAATTATTCGATGAGATTCCATGTCTCAAAATAATTCAGCTCAAGATATAGTATATTTATTGTATTTAATATCTTTTGTGTGTCCGCTTGAAGGTGCAAAACGAATTTTTAAGCAAAAAACACTACGAATTTTTAAGTTTGGTAAAGGCTAAAATTATTCAAAGAAATCTCGTGAATATTTCAAAATAATTTGAGCATACTGTAAAATTTTTGTATTAAATGTCTTCAGTGTATTTCTTTAGGGATATATAATATAATATACCATATCTTGTATGAGTGTGTTAGTATCTCCATGTAAATCATCATGAAATCTTTTGTAGTGTGTTCGCATGTGGTCGTTAACGGTTGGCATCTAAGGTCTTTATGTCAAGTAACATTTGTAACGTGCCATGGAAATTTAATTATAGTCCTTAAAATTTTTACTGAGAAGTTTGTAATTTTCGTATGTGCGTCGTTTTGGCTGTTCCACATATCTGTGAAGCGTTGATGTATGTAAGTGTTCAGTTTGTTTTTCAAGTGTATTTTTGAGCGTCTTGGTAGAAGTGAGTACAATAGTCATAGTTCGAGGTTTAACTTTTTTTTTTTGTTGATATGTAGACCTCATGCCATTCTTCTGTTAAACGTCAGTTCAAGTTATTGCACTTTCTCTGTTTGAGGAATTTGGGCATTGTCAAGGTAAACAGGAGGGCAAGTCATGTCGAAGAGTGAAAGTAATACGTTGGAGTTTGTCTTGGTTTAGTCGAATTTTCCAAAGTTTGCAACAACTATATAGTTTTGTTGGATGATTTTGTGAAGTCTGTGAGGTCTGTGCAGGTATTGGTTATTGGGATGAATTAATAATCACGGACCATCTCAGTTTGGCCATAACACCCAGTCATAACCTTATATCCTTTTTATAGATTTGAGAGAAGAAAAAGCAATAATTATTTATGTAAACGCCAATAATATAAGCTCCACTGTGCGAGAGAAATTGTGAAAATATCATTGACTGGCTATCGAATTAAAGGAATTATATCATTTGGAAAGCGTCACCACCGTGCAAGTACGGATGGTATACAACTGAACTAGAGGGAGGTTCATCGATCAGTTCTCATAGATGCAATATGAATTGTCAGAATCTTTTTAAATACTTTAAAAATATAGTATAAATATGGTTGGTTTTCCATCTCAGTTGCTCAACCAGCAAACACTAAAAACGTCAGACGATAGCAATAACAATAAAAAAGATATTAAAAATGTCTCACTATTTCAAACTTTATGTATATAAAAATTACATTTATATATGTTTATATATAAAGTGAAGTATGTTGTATTTTTAGCATTGTGGTGTATTTTAGTAAATAAAATAATATATTTTAGTTATAAATCTAACGTGATTTTATATATTTAACATTTTTATTTCCCTCAGTAATCAGTATGTTGCTGCCAAAAGTCACGTTCATGCTTAATTCATGACAAAAGCTACGTGGCTAAGGGTCTAGAGAGAGAAAAAAAAGAGAAAGTATTACGAATAAAAGTCTAAACCAAGACTCCTTTAGCCGCAGGGTTCTATTGTCCGCCCTTTTATGTATTTATTATTCCAAAGGACTAGTATGAAAAATATCATCCAAGGGGAAACACTTTTAGCTTAGAGGACGTTTCAGATTTCCTTGAAGGAGCCCCAGAAATTCAGCCAAGTCAGGATTCGAAATTTTTGTGCAGGAGAGGTATTTCAAAGTGGTTGATAAAGCCATTACTTATTTCGGTGAAAATGTTAAAATTAAAGAAAATAAAGAGAGGTGAATAAAATATTAGACCGTAATAAGTTTAATGCCAAACATTATTCTTCTTATAATCCCGTCACTCACCCTAACCACACTGTTTATTTCAGTTCCAAGGCACATGAAGCGATTAACAGCGTCGAATGTATAGCCATCATACATGTATAGCAATCTTACCCTCTTCTTCTTGTCTCAGAGCTTGATGCTTCCATGTATTTGGTTGTAGATTGGTTTATCTCAAGACCCACGATTTTACTTTCTTGCCCAATCTTTGCCAGAATTTCCTTCAATGCTGCATTTCAGTAATTTATTTTTTCTGTTGTGTTATGTTATCGAATAATTTATAAATATAATAAATCGAATAATATAATAAATTTCCTACACAATAAATTATTGACTTACCTTCAGAGATGCTACCTATCTATTAAGTAATGGTTTTGTGGTATAATTGAAAGGTAATAGCTTCATTTAAAATTACTCCCCCTTCTGGAAAAATAAATAAGAAAACAGAAAAACCATAAACTGTAAATGAAAAAAAATCTGGTGCGCGCATTACACGACTTTCACTTACCACCCTCTTCATAGCAAAAATAGGTATTTTCATACAAAGGGGAAGTGAAAGTAAAAATTTATTTACATTTCATTGTGGGTGTTTTTATTGGATTAATTAGCCTTATATATACAAATTAAAATTTTTATGTAGGTACAATCTACCTAATCCTGTCATAAATATTTTTACAAGGAAATATATACTGATTTCAACAGAACAATTACTTTTTCAAAAGCTTTATTAGAAAATAAAATGTATATCTATAGGGAGTAAAACAAAATAGAAATGACTCAAAATGTCCCCCTTTTGCCTTGACACAGGCATTTAATCTCCGTGCCCAGTCATCAATAGCAGCACGCAGCACTCCTTGAGGAAAGCGTTCAACTGCTCGGACCAGAGATTGTTTGAGGCTTTGCAAGTTAGGGGATGCTCTGTGTCATCCATCTTCTCCAGTTCGGAGCAAAGCCGATAATCTAGTGGGTTAAGAGCAGAGCAGAGCTTAGAGCCAATCCCAGGCAGAGATGAACTCTGGAATGTTCTTTTGCAGTCACTGCTGAATTGACCTGACCTTGTGAGCTGGAGCGGAATCCTGCTGGAAAACCCAATGATTTCCAGCAAACAGTGTATCATTTAGAGGCATGAAAACAGGTTCCAAAATACCATCCTGTGAGTTTTTAGCGGCTGTTTTAACTCCTTTTTCACAAAAAATGGAGCTTTTTGATGCCATCAAAGCAAACTCCCCATCAAACCATCGCTGAGGATGGGCGATGACCTCTTTTCACTCTTCCGATTACTAATTGGGCTTTTTCAGAGCTGTGTGCGTACACACGATCATTTTGGCGATTAAATTTTTCTTCAATTGTCAAAATTTTCTCGTCGCTAAGAAAATCTTTCGATGAAGACCATTGGTGTAACTTCTAAGAAGCACTTTGTATGTATTCACTCCAATTTTTTTAGGGAAGTGGTTAGCCTTTGTCCTGTCATTCTTCGAAATGTATCTATCCTAAGATCACTTTTTATTAAACGATACATTAATCTGACCGAGATTCCTATTTCTCGAGACATGATTTGTTGTTTTCGAATGGGATTTCTTTTGATTCGAGCAGCCAGTGTTCTCACTGCTTTTGCATTGGTTGAGGTCTGCCACTAACAGATAGGGTCTCTATTTATTGTACGGTATACGAAGATACGGTTGATAGCCAAAGGTTTCAATGTGTTGAAAATCTCTGACCTACATTTTCCAACTTTGTGTAAGCCGATCGGTTTTCTTTATCACCCCACCCCATGTTAACTGAGCGAAAGGAATGATTAATGTGAAATGGTTAATTATTTAAAGTAAAAAAAAAATTGAAGGTACTTTAGAGGAAGCTAATATCGAAAATTAGTCATTTAATCCTTTTTATAGAACACCAATTATAATAAAACCTACATAGTGGGGAAGCACTGACTTCCAACGCTCATGGCCTCGGGTTCGAATCCGGCTGATGGCAAGTAATTTTTCGTCACCTGTGGATCGATTCTGGAGTCGGGAGACTCTTCTGGGGCACTCTCAGCCTTTGTAAAAAGTGGATACTCTTAATTAAATGATTAATTAAGGAAGAAACCTGGCGGTTGACCCGATCACATCCCTGCTCACCGTAGGCCTTGAAACATTGCTTCCTTACTAAGTACTGAACCCAAGACCCTTCATGGATTGTAGTGGTATAGGTTTTTAATTTTATTTATTTTTTTATTAAATGTAATTCAAATTCTAAGTGAAATGTTAATGAATGAATGATACTTAATTTTTGTAAATCAGTTTAATAATTATACCTAATATAATGTAGTTGAAGAATTAAAGTGTATCATAAAGATAGGCTAACTCATATGTATTATATTAAAATTTAAGTATATCGATTATTGCCAGTTAGGATTCGTAGTTGACTGTTTCATTGTGCTATTCAGAATGGAAGAGTAATATCAAATCAGTAGAAGTTTTTACAAAACTATTTTCTAATAAAAAAATAAAAATACCGATAAATATTATTTATAAAATAAAATCGATTATTAGATTATTTATAAAATAGTCCAAAACATAACTAAAAATAAACTTCTACTCCATTCTCGATAGTCGTCGTGAGAACTCAAGACTAGCTAAAGGTCATACGTCGTCAAAGAAAGTGGAAAGTGTGCGACTTCTCTTGCGCAACCTAACCGGTCTCACTTTCAATTCGACTTTTTCATAGACCTGTCGACTTCGTAATCTACAGCTGTCGTTGTTTACAAACAGTTGAAGCAATTTTATAAAAATCGGAATTATGTGATTTGAAATATATATATATATATATATGTCTTCCAATGATAACTTGATATAAAGTTACGTTGTGATGCAAATAATGAAATATGTATTATGCACCAGTTGACAGACGATGTTCTCCGGCCACCTTTTCGTCGTGAATTATTAAAATGAATTAATTTATATAAATAAATTTTATTCTAATTTCAATAGAAAATATATTCAATCGTTATCTATTAAAATTATCTTAATAATTTATTTGGTATATTTACGATAAAAAACTAATAACAAGAAAAATTCCGTTGAGCAGGGTTCAGTGTAAGGAAGTACTGTTTTTGGCTGTACGATGAGGTGATTTGACCAAAACCACGTATAATCTCCTAATTAATTATCTTTTAATTGTTTAATTAAGAGAACCCACTTCATAGAAGCTAGATGTGCGCCAGGAGGGTCTTCAGACTCCAGGGTTGATTCACGGCTGATGTAACAGATTAATTATCAGCCAAAATCGGGATCCGATTACAACTAACTCCGACTAGAAACGTATATGTTCAAATACATGCAAAAATAAGAGCTAGAGGAAACAAGAAATAGACTCAAAACTTTTATAATCCAAGTTTTTTTTTTTTTATCTCAAGTGAAAATCTTATTTATTAAATTTAATAAAATATTAAGCGTTTGACCAGAAAATTAAAGTAAAAATTTACGATGAAAAATGAAAATTTACGCCCAACATTCCTAAATTCAGGATTTCGTTATCTTCGAAAGGTTGGATTGTCAGCTACTTATTACTTGAAACTGTTAAAGTTTTTAGTATCGACCAACTCATTGTCTGCGCTTTGTATCATATCTGCCGACTTCTGCTTGTTCAGGAGAAAAAGAAAACCCCAAGAGGATACCTGACCTTTCTTGTCGGGTCCTTAACAATGGAGGATACTTCCAAGTGGAGGCCAGGCAGATAACACAAGGGTCCGAAGCAATGATTGAACCGAAAAAAAAAATCGTATGATAAGAGTATTCGTCTGAGCAAGTTTCAGTTGATAAAAAAAAACAAAGGACTGTTGGCTCTATCTACCTTTATCAGCCATGAAGCAACATTTATCTTTAGTGGTTCTAACAATAAAATCCCAACTTCAGTATGATTTTTGGTGAATAATGTTTGGTATATAATATATGTTGTTATGCCAGTTTTCACTAATGGTTGAGACACTTTGTCTTTGTAATTAAATTATTTAAAGAAAATACTCTTCCAAGTTTAATCACCCAAGTGGATCGATAATAATAAATGTTTTATTTGCTCTCTGTGTCTTCTGAACATAAATGTTTGTATATCAATTTCATCAGAAGTTAAAGTTGGTCAAAGTTAAAAGTTATTTACTATTAAAAAAAATATTAAGTAAAACTTGACACTTGGAAGATAAGAATGATTTTCCCCAATAATACTAAGCTTAGGAGTTATTGCATCAATTAACAATCAATACCGTCAATATTATCGTAATATTAATATATATTTTTTAATTTTATCAACAATTTAGAATTTTAAATTCTCGCTTATTTTTTCTATATTATATTTTTTAGAAATAATTAAGTTTTGTTCAGACTTATATACTAAATGTTCCGGACCAATTATAACCTCCTCTGGTAGCTCAGTTGGTAGAGCGGTGGACTGTAGTTGGTATACATAATAACTGATATCCAAAGGTCGCTGGTTCAAATCCGGCCCGGAGGAAATTTTTTTTATAATTTTACTTACATACTAGCATGGATAATAATTTAATATTTTGAATTTCTTTTTTAAATAAATAATTATTTATTTATTTATAATTATTATTTATTTGTTTAGATTATATCTACATTAATTTCAAAATTTTGTCATATAAATAGAAACTACTATATTATTAGTTATTTCATACATTTGAATTATGAATTTCTTTGTTTAGTTTTAAAGGGATTTATAGCTTTGCATTTTATATAATTTTAATGAATATTATTATTTAAAAATATATTTCATTTTTTTATCCATTATTAATTATAATTTCTGGTTATATCAATGCTTTTAATGATGCAATAAAACATATTTTAAAATACATAGTTTAACGATGTTAAAGGGAAAAAATATGTTACTCAATGAATTATTAATTACCTTTATTAAGTGAGGTATATTCTTATTACTAATTATAATTTTCCTATAAATACTGAAGGAAATCATATAAAGATTTTTTTTTTTAGCGTCTTTTAGGGGGCATGTTTTCTTGAAGACTAGTTATGTTTTTGTAAGGTCATAGAAGTTTAAAAAACGTAAATGGTTGTTTGATCACAAAATCGAGAAAAAAGCTAACCTTAAAAAATATGGGAGGCCTATATAACCTCTTTATTTTGACAAGTTGGGAGTGGTGGCCACTCCAAACGGTCCAATATTATTGTAGGCCATCGTTTTACTCCATCAAACTATCTTTTATGATCAAATCATCTTATTACTTAATTGGAAAGTAAATTAGTGTTATTCAGATTTTTTAGCATCTCATTTAATAGATAAAGTTTACTGATCTAAAGATTGAAGGCGCCCAATTATCGAGAATTTCCGTAAAAGTTGTGTGTTATGACAAGATGAACCTATCCACAAGATTTTAGGGAGATGTTAATAATTTGGTAAAAACAGTTATAATAATTATAACGGTTTTAAAATTTTAAACATATGCAAGTATAGAATATTTTAAAAATAAAATATAAAGTTAATAATTATGCATAAATTATTATCTTTAAAAGACACGATTGTGATATTTTTATTGTAATCATTAATTTTTTTCTCTGGTGATGTATTTAATGTTTTTTTAATTAATTTTAATATTACTATATTAATTATTTCATTACTAGTATGATGGGCATAATCCTACGTGTTCTGTATCTATTCCTTTTTCCAACTGGCCATGAATAATTGGGTCGTAGTCCGGACGTATCTGGAATCATCAGCTTGCACTAACTATTTTGATGACGTGCTCTTCAATGGCTCAGTTCCTGCCGCTTATTTAGACTGGCCTATTTAGTACTCTCAATGAGTCTGTAACCATCCGCGTACACGAACTGAACCACAAGAGCCGCTTCTACAGATCAAGATTTAATCCAGTTACAATTAGACAATAATTAATTTTGAAATGAAGCAAAATGAACTTTGCATCATAATTGGACCATCGTTTCTTGGCCTCACTGTCCTAATAATTCCTTATACCCAAAATAAGAGTTTTCAACCGCAAGCACTATTGTTATAGCCGCTTTTAAGTTGATGAGAACGGGCGATTAAGTTTTAAATATTTGCTAATTATACATTTTGATAGACACAGATAATAATTATTCAGCT